CTCTCTCTCTCTCTCTCTCTCTCTCTCTCTCTCTCTCTCTCTCTCTCTCTCTCTCTCTCTCTCTCTCTCTCTCTCTCTTCCCTCCAACACCACAAATCCGATCTCTCCATCTACCGGTCCTCCGTCCCGTATGCGGAGACGCTTCCCCGCTCTTACTTATTACACTTACTTTTTTGATCTTTTTTCTTTTGTGATCTGATCTTTGAGAGAGAGGGGAGAGGGGAGATCGCGAGGAAGAATGAATGGGTGAGTAGGGGAGTGAGTAAGGGAGAATGAATGAATGAGTGAGTAGGGGAGTGAGTAAGGGAGAATGAATGAATGGGTGAGTAAGGAACCTGCGTCTCTCCTCCTTCCCGTTCCTGTATCGCGCATAGATTTGTAAAGGGGGGAGGGGGGAGTCAGGGTCTGCTTTTATTAGACGGACAGATGGACAGACAAGACAAGACAAGACAGACTTTCTTGGTTTCAATGTACTTTGATGTGTGGATTTTTTTTTTTTTTTTTTTTTTCTTTTACTTAAATTCAGCAGCGCTTTTGTTGTGTGTGTGTTGTGTGTGTGTGTGTGTGTGTGTGTGTGTGTGTGTGTGAGGATGGGCGAGTGAGCCCCCTCCCCCCCTCATCCCATCCGATCGATCCCAAGGGTGCACCGGATGATATCAGAAGGGGGACTGTTTTCCTACGTTTGTTTTGTACGGTTAGACGAGGGAGGAGGCGGATGCGGAATAGAGAGATAGAGCAGATTTCCATCCTATCCATCCGCTCACCCGCTACGAAGCGGAGCCGATCACGAAGTTCATGCCTCCGGGATGGAGGGAAAACTTGGTCGTTATCGACCTTCTCTCTCCCTCTCAGCTTCCTCTTGCTCTTGCTTCTCCCTCGCAAACTCCCAGCCTTACTGCGAGGGGTGGATATATAAGGTATGTATGTATATATGTATATGTATTTCCACTCTTGACCAAGAAAAGAAAAAAGAAAATGAAAAAAAGGGAAGAGAAAAGGGAAAAGTGGAGAAAAGGGAAGGGAAAAAAGGATTAAACAAAAAAGAAAAAGGGTCCCAGCCATTAACCTCTTGCCCGCTCACCTATCTATGTGTTCGTCTCTTGATTCCTTTGTTGATTAATAGATAGATAGATAGTCCTTTCTTTCATCCATCCATCCTTCCTCCCTCCCTTCCTTCTTCCTCCCTCCCTTCCCTCCCGCACCAGCTGGCACACACGCACGCACGCACGCACAGAAAAAAAAAAAAAAATTTTAAAAAAATTAAAAATTAAAATTAAAAATTTGGCAGCTAAAACGGGATTCATCCAGCGACAGAAGATGCATTTCATTTCATTTCAAATTTTTTTTTCCAAGGGCAAAAGGGGAATGAACGGCCGGTTGCATCGTAGAATACATGCATGCATACATGCGAGGGAGAGAGAGAGAGGTGTAAGTAAGGAAAAGGGTGTATGGTATGTATATATATACCGTATATACCTATGTACCGTATGTAAGTATGTAAGTATGCGTATGACGCCCTCCCCTCTCCCCCTCCCCCTCGCT